TCCATGTTCCATAAACAGTGTTGGAATTATATAAACTGGGAATTACTGGAAAGCTGAGACACAAACTTAATGCCCCCCCAGTATCAGTCAGTGCCCCCCCAGTCAAAAGGTTTGGACACGGCCCTGCAGACGTGCAAACAACAAAAATAAAGCAGAGAGTTTTTCCTCTCGTGTTCCTCCAGCAGCAGAATCTCTTTGTTTCATTTTGTTTCAATAATCAAAAACATCCGTTAGATTATTTCCTGTTTTCTATCGCAATTAATTCAGCTGCATTTGGAGCCACCAGGATCAGATCCTGTATTGTTTTTGGGAGTCTGGAGGTTAATGACCTGAGGAGGACATGATGGGCTTTTAAAGGACCATGTAGGATCTTTTGGCTCCTGAAGACAAATAAAGCCTAAAACACCTTCAGTCAAAAACTCCTTTGTGAGAGTTTAATGAGCTAAAACAAGGGTTCAAATTACACAGCGACTTTGGGAGGAGCCATATTCAAATATCACACAGCACATGTTAAAATAATAAAGCTGAACATTAGTGAAGAGACTTCTGATATTTAAGGGTTGAATCAACATTATCATCTGATCTTTGTGTATTTAAACTAATTCGAAGAGTTCCTGAATCAAAATGATCAAATAAACACTGACATATTTTTACTGTTATTATTTATTTCAGGAGCCTCAATGTACATAAAATAACATGAAATATAATACAAATATATATAAAATAAAATGTGACATTTGACACAAAAACAACGTTCATCTTAAATATCTCAGAGTCGCTCGGGGGGTCGAACAGTTTCTATTATCTTTAAATAATCTAACAGAGTTTGTAATGATTTGTTTTTATTTATTCATTTATCTGAAAATGTTAAAATGTTTGAAGGATTTGGTGGCATCTTGTGGTGTAGCTGCAGATTGCAACTCCCTCACTCCAGTAGCAGAAACTCGGTTCAACATGGCGGACCCTGCCAGAAGAAGAGCGGCTGCCTCTGTAGATAAAAACGTCTTATTCTAACAAACACACAATGATTCTTATGGTCAGCTGATCTTATTATTATAGATATTATATTAATGTGACTCACTGGAGCTTTAAATGTATATAAATATTAAATCCAGTAACAGACGGATGTTCTCTGCTCACATCGACGGTGGATCGTTAATGAAAATGATTGTTTGAGTTCTGTTGGTTTATCTGGAGCATCTGTGATGTCATGCACCTTAATCAGGTCATGTGATCCGGACTGTGATGTAACATGGTCACACCTGTCCCTCCTCCTCCTGCAGGAGCTGGTGGGAGTATCTGCAGGTGTAGAGAGAGAGCGGCGGCTGGCACAGGAAGTGAGCGAGCAGATGGTGCAGCGGGTCCCTGAGGGCCCGGGGGGGGCGTGTTCACCACACCTGGAACACATGAAAGTGATGTTCCTCCACACCTGGAGTCCGCAGAGAGCTTGTTAACTCCACCTGGACCCACACGATGCTCACGCCCCCAACACCACCGCTGATGACCTCACAGCAACAGGAAGCAGGAAGCACCCGAAACTGCAGCCGATAGAGTCGGTTTACCTGAGCAGGTACAACACACACACACACACACACACACACACACACACACACACACACACACACACACACACACACACACACACACACACACACACACACACACACACACACACAGTCACACACACACACACACACACACACACACACACACACACATGTGAATTTACAACAGAACAAATAATGAATAATAATAATAATGTTTGTTGTTGGTGTTTATAAAGTGTGTACAGTTTCTCTTTGAAGGGAGTCGGAGGTTAAAGCGGTTCAGTGCCAGCAACCAGTGGAGGCTAGTTAGCTTAGCTGTCAGTGTCGGCCATTTTGCTAACTTATAAATTACAGTTGATATTTGTGTCCGTTAATTAATTCTGTTAGTCTGGAGCAACTTGTGGTCCTCGACCCAGGGCCGTCACCAGGAAGGGCCATGGCCCCCCCGATTCAATTACTGGCCCCATATCAATAATATCAGATATTTGACATTAGGCAGTATTCATTTAATCAGTGTATGTTGATTTAAGATTAATGTATATTAAATGAGTTTAAACTTTGGGGGGGTCGAGATAAATAAATAATGTTTCCATGAGAGAGAATTTTGTTCTGTTGGTATCATAATATATATAATATAATATAATATAATATATCATAATATAATATAATGTAATATAATATATCATAATATAATATAATGTAATATAATATAATATATCATAATGTAATATAATGTATTATAATATATCATAATATAATATAATGTAATATAATATAATATATCATAATGTAATATAATGTATTATAATATATCATAATATAATATAATGTAATATAATATAATATAAAATAATATCTGTGCACTGAACTACCATCATGCATCATTTATGGGCTGTAAATCCAACACAAAGCAGTTAATGCAACAATATACGAGAATAATACTTTATATTATACATTATATATATAATCAATAACTGATTGATAATATCAGTTATTGATTATAATCAGAATCAGAATCAGAAATACTTTAATTATCCCAGGGGGAAATTATTAGTATATATATTCAATAACTGATTGATAATGTCAGTTATTGATTATATATATATATATATAATAACTGACAAGTTCAGTTTCTTGTTGATGTCGTGATTGATTTATTATATTGATACGTATTGATACGTATGATCAGGATTTGATGGATGTGAGCTGAGGTTTGTCATTGTGACAAATAAACTAAAATAAACGTATTTTCACTTATTGATTAATCGTCTATAACCAATCATCCAACAGATCGATCACTGAGAGAAACTTCAGGCAAACAATTTCTCCAATTTCCTGTAAATCTGATCAAATAATGAACTTTATTAGAAACAGTTCTGTTATTTTTATTGTGGATTAATCTGATCGTTATTTTCTCCAAATAAAACAAATTTAAAATAAAAAAAGTAAAAAAAAAACGTTGTTTGTTCTAAAATCCAAAGAAATTCACTTTAATGTGAAAATCTGCAATAAGGTAAAAAATAAATCAACTAATCAATAAAATAAAAATATTTTTTACACCATAATGTGATTAGTTAGTTTAAACCATTTAAATTCAGTATGTCAAACTAGATATTTGATTTAAAGTACAAGTAACTAAGTATTTATTGATAAGGTAACTTAAATGAAGTTAACTGAACTTAAATCTAGAAAATCAATTTAAATATTTGAACAGAATTTAACTGAATCTTCTTCAAACTAATTAACTTACTCGGTTTTCTTCCACTAAAGCAAATGAGGACGTTACCTGATAAAACCTACAATAAAAACTATTTATAATGAATCGCTTATCAATAATCAATAATCATTCATTGTTCCTGCTGCTAACTGTTTGTTTCGTCTGTGATTAACATTAAATCTTTAAACTTTGGGAGGATTCAGAATTCTCTGGATGCATAGAAACTGAAATAAGAAGCATTAAAAGACAGAAACATCAAACTGTAAAATATATAATAATATAAAATAAAATATTAAAAATAAAGAGTATTTATTTCAGTTAGTTTTCAGATTTAATTCACAGTAAAATAATTTAAAGTGAACTCATTAAAGCTGCTTTCTGTTTCTTCTCTGTCCACTTCAAACTAAAGTGTTTCTGAATCTAATTAAAAAAATATATATATATATATATTAATATTTGTTTATTTGTCAGCCCTTCATTAACCAGAGGTTCCCAACCTGAGGGGCAGGACCCTGTGAGGGGCCACAGGATGAACCTCAGGGATGATGAAGAAACATTCATTCTGCTGAAGATGAACTGGAACCAATGGCAGATTCAAGGTCGAGGACAAAGTCTTTAATGAGGTTTAATTAAATTACTGATTAATTAGAATTCATTGTTTCATTTATTGAATCTTAATTGAATTACAGGTTTTAATCAGCTGTTTTCTATCTGAGTGTTTGTGTGAACAAATAAAGATAAATCTCATCTAAAGGAAAAATATTCAATATTCAATAATTAAAGAATAAAAACTGAACTTCATCCTGTAACTTTCATTTAATCATAAAACTGGTTTTAAACTGGTTCAGAAACTGACATTTGTTCTTCTGAGTCTTCAGCTTTAAACACAGTTACATTTAGTGATTATATTATATTATATGTTATATTATATTAGATAATATAATGTTATATTATATGTTATATATAATTATTTACCCGTGTGAAATAAGTCTGTTTATATTTCTGTTGTTGGACTTTTATCACACTGTTCTTTAGAAAGCTCCAACAGGGAAATACACGACTTTAGATAAATCAAATAAATATACATTCTTTCATAAAACAGTTTGTATTTATATATTTGTCATTCATTCATTCATGATGTCCAAACTGTCCTATTCAATGAGGAGAAATAAAGGCACTAATTAAAGCAAATAAAGGGATTCATTTAGCGTTATTATTGATATAATTTGAGGAAATAAAAACAGAGTGAACGTTATTAAAGGAGAGAGGAGCTCCAGACAGCGGGCAGGAGGACGAGCCGCAGCCGAGAGAGAGCTGCCTGCTGCCGGCTGCGTGAGCCACAAACACCGCGGAGGAAACACCCGGAGACCTCCTCCTCTTCCTCTTCCTCTTCATCTATCACTCCTTCTTTCTGATCGACCCGCAGCTGCACTCATCTGTTCATCATGAGCACCAACCTACGGTGGCCTCGCTGGGACAATCAGAGGGTTCACCTGCTGCTCTCTGATGTTTCTGTGTCCGGTAAAAATCTCCAAAAAAAAAGGTCGAAAAGTTTGAATTTCCCCCAAAATAAACCAAATAAACCCTCTAATAATAATAATAATAATAATAATAATAATAATAATAATAATAATAACCTTCCTGCAGGGTTGAATATTCAATATTGATTATTGATTATGGATTGGATGAATTAGCTTTTCTCTGTATTAATGACCACTTCCGGGAAACAACAAACAAACATTGGAGTTTTTTTATTAAATAAAAGTGCATTACATTCACCTGCCATGATACACAAGTGCGCAGGCGCCGGCCACAGATGAACCTTATAAATAAAAGTGTGTGAAATCTGTGTGTCTGTACAGGTGCGTGTGGTGCGTTCAGGGTCCTCTCCTCCTATGTGTGACAGTGAGATAGAAAAAGGGAAATAAAGAGTTCTCAGCTCATCAGACATTATTCACACGACTCACGGCTTATTTACAATCGGAGTGGCGGGAAAAGGCCGCCTTTGCCCGGGAGAGTTCTCGTCCAGGAGCGGGTACCAGGGGCGGGAATCAGGGTCCGGGTCGGGTATTAGGAGCTGTCGTTCTCCGACGTGTGCAGCAGCAGACCCGATCCCGGTTTGTGTTTGTTCAGCAGCTGTGTGATCTTCTCGTCGTCCGAGTTCGGGTCCAGCGGTTTGTTGTAGTCGTCGTCCTCGTCCTCGTTGTCCGAGGTCCCCTTCAGTCTCTCGGTCTCGGAGTCCTGCTTCTTCTTGGCCGTCGCCATCTCCGCCGCGTGCTTTTTCCTCCACTTAGTCCTCCGGTTCTGGAACCAGACCTGGACCCGGAGCGCACACACACACACACACACACAGTCAGCTTCAGCTCTCATAGATTATCGATCTGATATTAATAATCCACTGATAGTGATTATTGATCTGATATTAATAATGCACTGATAGTGATTATTGATCTGATATTAATAATGCACTGATAGTGATTATTGATCTGATATTAATAATCCACTGATAGTGATTATTGATCTGATATTAATAATCAAACTTTATACACAATCAGAGTTTCAGTCAGATCTGCTGCACGAAGAGAAACACACAAACTGAATATTCTAACCCCTGTTCTAGACTGATATAGTAATAATAATAATAATAATAATAATAATAATAATGAAACGTATATTTCTGAAGGGAATTTCAGAATAAAATGTTCTGAACGAAAGATATAAAATAAATATAAAAATCCTCCATTTAATATTTAATATAAATATATAATATATATAATACCTATAGCATATATTGAATCCTCCAGAAATAAATAGAAATAAAATAAACACAATAATAATTATATAGGATCAAACTAATAATAACAATAATAATAATTTTCAGAGTAAAATGCGCAGCACGGGGGGAGGGGGGGGTCACATTTAACACATTAATTTATATTCATTAATAAAAGTAAAAAGTAAGTAATGACCTGTTTATCCTCATTTAAACTCAGTGAAACATTAAACACATCTGAAGATGAAATAAAGTTTATTGATTTCCACCTTTAGGTATTTCTAATCAATACTTTACTAATAATTGAATGATCTTCATCTGACGGTTTCCCACCAAACAAAGCCCCCCCTCCCGTAATTATACCTCTCTACATCCTGAAATATAAAACATAAAGAACTGAAATAAATTAGAATTATTACTAATAAAGATGAAATTCAAATAAACCGGATGTTTCGGCGGTGATTGTCAGATTAAAATGCTCTGAATGATGCATTATGGGAGCAACATGAAGCTCGTGTCTAACTGATAAAAGGCCTTTTGCATTAAAACGTCATTTTAGTGTAAAAGAAAGAAACAGTGCGTCATTTTACGTTGAAAAACAAACAGCAAATATCAACCAAACTACCTGTAAAAAAAGCCTTATTATTATTATATATATATTATTTATTAAATTAGCAGCATTTAATGTAAAAATGTGAAAACAATTGTGTTTGTTTCCAACGTGTAAAAGTGTGTTTAACGTGCTGCATGATGGGAAAGTGTCTGTCTCTGCTCCGGAGAGGACAAACTGAGGATTTTAATGTTTTTCTCTGTTTGTTATTTTGAGACTTTTTCAGGCGGAGTTCTGAATTACCTTGACTTGGCTCTCGGTCATCCCCAGAGAGTAGGCCAGCCGCGCTCTCTCGGGCCCCGCGAGGTATTTAGTTTGTTCAAAAGTCTTTTCCAGCGCGAAGATCTGCTGCCCGGAGAACGTGGGCCGGGTGTGTTTCCTCTTCCCGTCCTTATCCAGCAGCACCGAGTTCTGGTCTGAAAGCAGCACACACCGAACCTCATTAGTGTCATTAATGGAGGGAAACCCGACAATATCACCCCCCCCAAAACACTTCTCTCTCTAGAGGACATTATGATGCATCTCGGGTAAAACAGGAGAAATTAAATAATTCATTAAAATATCATTTCTGACATTTATTTCTATTTTTAGATTAAACATAAAATGTAGAATTTCTGCTTCAATATTTCACATTATAGATAATAGGCTATTACAGCCAACAGCACATATTATAATAATAATAATAATAATAATAAGAAAAGAAGAAGAATAATCTGATCAACTGAAAACAAATATCCACATTTACATTTACAGAATCAAACAGAAACATTTTATTCTAACAGTTGTTTTAATGCATTCTATATATATAGGCTATATATATATATATATATATATATATATATATATATATATATATATATATATTTAGGTTATATATCTATATGTTTATATATTTATTTATATGTGTATAAGATAAGATATTCCTTTATTGATCCCCATTAGCAGAAATTCAGGTTGGCACAGCAGCAACAGAGAACAAAGAATATCACTAATAAAATATTATAAAATACAAACTATAATAGAAGATATAAAACTATAAATGAAATAAACACTAAGCATTGTTGAAGTAGAACATGGAGAGCAAAATATATGAGCAGAAAATTCAACTTGAGTAAAACTAAAAAACTAAAAACTAAACTGTACAAGTGGAAATTAAATGTAGATGCAGACTGTTGAAACCAGTGTTAGTCTGCGGAGGTTGGAGGTATGTTTCTATGTTTATGTATATAATTAAAGGCTTTATATTTATATGTAGATTTAGATATGTATATATAATTAAAGACTTTATTTGCTCACACTCACGGGGCGAACACGCGAACCTCGCGTCCCTCCAGTGGGGACTCTGCATGACTCCCGGCCAGAAGATCGGTGTCCGGCCCGGGAGATCCGCCAGGGGCTTCGGGTACCGGGCCACGGCCACCGCGGCGGCGCTGGGGCTGAAGTAAAGTCCGGGAGGCGGCGGCGGGCTGAGGCTGCTGAAGCGGGGCAGCCCCGACAGGATTCCCGCCGCGGAGGAGGCGGAGGCGGCGGCCACCGTGGCCCCAACGAGGGACGCTGTGGGCCGGCTGAGGATGTCGTTTATTCCGTGGGGGGTGGCGGAGGAGCACTGCTGCGGGGAGCCGAGCCCCGAGGACAGCCCCGTGGAGGAGCTCTTGATCCCGGGGGAGGACACCGCCATGCCGCCCGGGTTAGGGGACGTGGTGGCCGGGGAGGTAGAGGAGTTGGGGCCGGTGGAGGAGAGCGGGTAGGCCGGGTACAGCGGGGTCTTCATCTCGGTCATACTGTGCAGAGCTGCCAGAGGGGGGGTGCTGAGGAGGAAGGCGCTCTGTCGGGACCCGTCCATCTGACCCACCGCTAACATTACCACCGATCTGCAGGATCCGGGACCGGGTTCTTCTCTGGGCTCTTCAGGGGCCCCGCGCACCTCACAGACAGGAACTAAACAGAAACCCGGTCCCCTCTGGAGCCACAGCCCATCTCAGGCTCACAGAGAAACCCAAAACCTCCACAACATAAAGCTCCAGAAGCAGGTCCCCGGATCCAGGTCCCCTCTGAAACCAGGACTGTCAGGAACCGGGACTGTCAGGAACCGGGACTACGGGAACCAGGACTGTCAGGAACCGGGACTGTCAGGAACCAGGACTACGGGAACCAGGACTGTCAGGAACCGGGACTGTCAGGAACCGGGACTACAGGAACCAGGACTGTCAGGAACCGGGACTACAGGAACCGGACTGTGCAGCTGCAGAAGTTCTAGAGATAATAAAACCGGATCATCTGCTCCTGCTGTCTATCACACAGTCCAAACTTTGAGAGGAGGACCTGGAGGGGGGGGGCAGGAGGCGCCTCTGTCCGGATTGGCTGACCCCGCAGTGACGTAGGGCCGGGACCGCCTCTTGATTGGCTCAGAGGGTCGGCTCTGATTCGCTGGAAGAAGAAAGAATTCATATTTCATGGAGTTCAGTGGAAGAAGAAAAAGAGATTCAATTATTCCAGCAGCTGTTTACAGGATATTGATTGATTATTGATTGATTATTAAAGGATTCATTTACATCTTTAACGAGGTTTCAAATGAACAAACTGCAATATTTTAAATTCTAAAGAAAAGTTCAGTTTATTCTTCAACCTGAAAACAAATAATCAGCAAATAAATTGTAACTTTTAATCATTTTTACTCAACAAAAGTCTTAAAAAACATTTAAATCTTTAATTAAAATGTCAGTAAAATGTTTGTTGGTAATATTTACTGATGTAGAATCAATAGAAATAATCAGCTGATTAATTAATTAAAGCTCCTGTAAGGAACCCGTAATCTGTGTTGATTCTGGCGCCCCCTGTGGACAGAACGTGTTTCTACAACTCGTTTCATTGATTTCAACGGGAATCCGACCTGGTGGCACATTAATTAATAATCACTATATAATAATATAATATCATATAATATATGATAATATATAATATATAATATAATATTTCTGCTCTCTGGTGTTTACGAGGCTTCAGTATTATTTCATGATAAAAACTCTTTGTAGTAAAATAATAACATAAATGAATGTAATGATCTGTTATGGTCACATGTTACAGAAAGATATTGATCTCTAAAGCTGCCGAGGGCGTAACCACACATTCTTTATTTAATATATTTAATACATTAAATATATTTAATATATTTAATATGTCCTTTTTGGTTTTTTATTTTCAGTTTATTTCTGCTTGTTGAAGAAAGATTTTGTGTTTCCAACTTCACTGTAAAATAAATGTAATTATTGTAGTTTCCAGAACTTAAATAGATTTAAATGATATCAGTTCTGTTGATTTTACAGTTAATATTTTACTGAATAAATAAAGTTTTAGTTTAGATATAACAGTGTTTCACTGTTACAGAAACTTTAACCTGTTTACAGTCTCTTACTGTTTTCACCATAAACACAGTTTTTACAGTGTTTGTGATTTATTTATTTTATATTTTATATTTTATAGTTTATATTTTATATTTTATATTTTATATTTTATATTTTAAATTTTATATTTTATTAACATGTGACAGATTGTTTATTTTGATGGTAAAAACTATTAATAATAAAATACAGAATTTTACTGATAAATGTGATCAGAATATTTCTGCCTGTGTGACAGAAGTCAGAAGTTCAGATCGGAGAACATGATCAATATTTATATTTTCATTATCAATCAATCGATTAGTTGTTTGGTCCATAAAATATTGGTCACAACTCTTCAAACATCTCGTTGATAAAATAAGATTCAGTTTATTGTCACAGACGAAGAAAGAAGCAGAAAATATCTGATCACCTGAAATCAAAGATTATTGATTATCAGAATAGTTGCTGATCCATTTAATAGTTGACAACTAATCAATTAATTGTTGCAACTCTATAAACTCTAATAATGTGAAGACCTTGAATGCAACACCAGCAGGCCTCCAGGTGGACTTATTGATCAGTTATTAGTTATTAGTTCATCCATTCTCTGGTTTATGTGAAGAATTAATATCAATCAACTTTCACTATTATCTGTCAATCACTATCAATAATCAATAGATGAATTGGTAATAAGTTAAACAGTGACTGAACAAATGGATCCACAATAAATCGTAAAATATCTTTTAATAAACTTTAATATCCTTCATTCAGATTCTGATCATGGTTACGTTATTTTATTGATCATGTGACTCATCAGTGTGTGTGTGTGTGTGTGTGTGTGTGTGTGTGTGTGTGTGTGTGTGTGTGTGTGTGGATCAATAACTGATGGTGAGGCTCTGAAAGACATTTCATTAATTCATTAATGTCATTAAGAATAATAATCAATAACTGGTTGTGGAGTTCAATCAGGTTCCTGACACACTGACGCCCCCTGCTGGTCCCTGAGAGAACTGCACAACATAGTTCAGCTCTACCTGATTATTGATTATCACTGATTATTGATTATCACTGATGATCAATCTAATAATGAGTCAGAGACATACTGCACTCTGTGAACTTTTATAAAGCTGATACTTTAATTTGTAATGGAGTATTTTTATCCTGTTACAGTTTAAAGTTTCACAGTTATTATTAAACTACTGAAGGATCAATAATGTTTATACCTTCATACGCTGCTTTTATTCAATTCAATATTCCAACAGTTTCATTAAGATGTTCCTTTATTGATTAGTAAAAGTCAAAGTTTGAGTAAAGAAAGATAATAAAATACAATAAAATATAAATATAATAAAACATATGAAATATATAGATTATACACAATAAGGTAGAATATAGTGAACCTGTGTATCTCTAATATCAAAGAGATCAAACCAAACACACATGTTTCCTCTAATATAACTCCAATAAGTAATATTAATATATAATAATTAATATATATAACAGTCCTTAAAGGCACAATCTAAAATAAACAATGTATTATATATATATATATATATACATATATATATATCTCACTGCTGTAAGTGAATTTCCCTGAAGTCTAAATGATCTTCTATTATCTTATCTTCAAATAGTTTAAAATAACCCTTTAAAATTCATAAAATTATATAAAATAATAATCAGGAATAATTTATTGTTATGTTACAGTTGCTCACAAGATATTATAGAAATAATAATAAAAAGAAGAACGTTAAAAATATGTATTATATTATATATTATAATATCTAACAATAATATCAATAATATAAAAATATAAAATACAAAATATTTAAAAAAAAATAGAAATATAAAAAAAGAGTCTAAAGTATGTACATTATAATACAATATATGACAATATATAGAAGAAAGAAATATAATAACAATAATAATGAAAAAAGATAAAGTATAAATAAAGTTTATCTTAACTTTATTTATACTTTAATTTTATTTATTCTTATACTGTCTTGTTAATAGTTCCGGATGTTTCCAGGGAGGTGTGTTTGTGTAACACCGCCCCCTGCTGTCCGACCGCAGTCACTGCACCCAGGCAGCAGCGCCTCCTCCCGGCCGCCAGGGGGCGGTGAATCTTCCCAGCAGCAGAAAAGAGGAGCGCTGTCGCCGGTTCTTCCTCTTCCTTCCGCGGCCTCAGAGGTAGGAGACCAGTCCCGCTGATGGAGCCGAGAATCTGTGTTAAATCTGTATTAAAGCGGCTCCATCCTTCATTTTAAACGTTTGCTTTCTGTGACTTTATCGTTAAACACACCGGAGGATGTTAAATGTTTGTTTATTGATCCGTAGATTCAGATTTATTGAGATATTTGTGAGGATGCCGGTTTGGTGGTCCGCCATGTTGGCTGCGTTGGACGATACAACCAGACTTCAGAGAGAAAACGATCATTTCTGCGTTTATTAATGTTTCTAATGTTTCTAATGTTTGTCGTTAGTTCTCAGTGATAGTGGATGTTCATTAGTGCCGAATCTTGAGCTAACTGAGGCTAATGCTAAAGCAGCTAACAGCAGTCATGAGGAGTGTGATTATTGATAGATTGAAGCTGATTATTGATTATGTATCTCCTGTTGCAGATATCTGAAAATGGTCCGCTACTCTCTCGACCCCGAGAACCCGACTAAATGTGAGTGGAGTGAAGCTCTGTGGTTGTTGTGGCGGCTGTGATGACTTCTTAGGACACCTTTGGATTCCACATGAAACTAACTGATCTAAGATCTGAGCCGCCACATTAGTTACACATTAATAACTCATTAATTACTCATTAATTACAGATAAAGTGTTAATGAATCTGTTTAACTCGGTTTCTTATTTCAGCATGCAAGTCGAGGGGCTCCAACCTCCGTGTTCACTTCAAGGTACAACAGTGTGTGTGTGTGTGTTTTTACACTAACGGCTGCAGTCAGATTATATTTATCAATACATACATACATATTTAGATATATATAGAGATATATAGATATACAAACTGTGCTGGTTATGTGTTTATAGTTTAAATCACTTTACATGCAGTCTTTATATCTCTTATACGCTTTATATATGATATCTTTGGACTTTGTGCTGCAGGATTTGGTAAAAACATGATATTGGGATTATTGGGATGCTGCAATATGATTATTGATTAGTGGGAATGATCAGATTTAAATGTCACAAGCTAGTAATGTGTGAAATGTGAATATTTAGAGTCTGAACCAAACAAAGATGATTCCTGAATCAGAAATACTTGAATGATCCCAGAGGGAAATTATTTAAAGGAGAAGATTTCTTCTGATCTACAGTTTGTTATAAAGCTGTGACACTTATTGATCTTTGTGATTTGCACATTGAACTCTGACCTCCTGTGATTTCAGCTCTGACTGGATATTGGATCATTTTTATAGAGTTTGCATATAAATGAGTTTAATGTATGTGAAACTGTCCTTTCATATGTTTTCATGTTAATCAGAAACATTAAGTCTCTCCAACCTGATCAGTGTTTGTGTGGATGGATAAAAGTCCATTAATCAGAACTATCTGAAGATCACTCCATAAAGTAATCAATAGTTACAGAACCAGTTAATTAAATGATTCTTTTCAATTAGTGCTGCACATTTAAACTGCATTATAATGAAGCTCTGGATGAAGCTGTAACACACGTTTGTTTCAGACTGCAAAGAGAATTCTCGTCAATCCTGAATCAGTTTCTTTTTCCATCGAGCAGCTTCAGTTTAACACTCAGTGGCACAATGTGGATCTGAGATCAGCTGTTAGTTTCCTCTTGAGTTCAGTGTCATTGTGAGAATTAGAGGAAGGAGTTGGATACTGACCCGTCTGATATGAAGGTGATCTGACAGCGGTGATCTCTCTCAGTGAATATGTGGAGTGAAGCTGACTGTCTCTGAAACCTTCTCACATTGTTTGTTTGTTTTCTCCACCAGAACACCCGTGAGACCGCCCAGGCCATCAAGGGCATGCACATCCGCAAGGCTAACAAGTACCTGAGGGACGTCATCGTCAAGCACCAGTGCGTCCCCTTCCGTCGCTACAACGGCGGCGTGGGACGGTGTGCCCAGGTGAGCTCCGACCGCAGCGCCACCTGGAGTCTAAAACCTGCCATGATGACTACTTAGGACACCTTTGGATCAAAGATGAAACTAATCTATTACTCTGAGCAGTTTCTGTGGATTAACTGTTTCAAATGGAGGGAAACTCTCTTCTAAACTGTTGTTGTTGTTGTTGTTTTCAGGCCAAGCAGTTCGGTTGGACTCAGGGACGCTGGCCCAAGAAGAGTGCAGAGTTCCTCCTGCACATGCTCAAGAACGCCGAGAGCAACGCTGAGCTCAAGGTACGTTAGTCAGTTGCTACGTAATGTAATATCTGTGAGCTGCAGACTGACGTTAATGTATCAGCCTGGTCCCTGATCATTATTATTGATCCCACAGGTCAGAGGAAGAGCAGGGCTTTATGGGTAATTAAATATTAATCACATTCACAATAAAATGAGCGGGAAAGTTGCTCCACTGTTATTTAACTATTAAAAGCTTCTCACTGGAGGAACAGGAGTTTACCTTTATTAGTCACAGGAAGCGCACAGGGATCAATAATCGATCAGCTGTAGGAGAGTCGACCAGATAATAGTTATTGATCCTCTGAGAGAAAATACTGAACAGAAACTGAGGACCTCTTTAATACGGATCCACTCAGTTCTTCAGTCACAGGACGGTTTAAAGAGTTAAAGGTCGTGTGGCGTGCGGCGGCGGTGAGGATCAGCTGGTTCCTGTAGCTCGCTGACAGGAGGACGGTTGCAGTGATGACCATTTAGGACACCTTTGTATAAACCATGAAAATAAAACAGAGTCTGAGCAATCTGATCTTCACTGTCAGTCTCTGGATGAGCTGGGGGGGGGGGATAAACTGACCCTGGATCAGGTTTATTGACGCTGACTGCAGTGAGTGGTTAATGTCTGTACAGTCAGACGGAGTGAGAGTTGTGCTGTCACTGACCCGTTGTGGTTCTCAGGGTCTGGACGTGGACTCTCTGGTCATTGAGCACATCCAGGTCAACAAGGCCCCCAAGATGAGGAGGCGTACGTACCGCGCCCACGGCCGCATCAATCCCTACATGAGCTCCCCGTGCCACATCGAGATGATCCTGACCGAGAAGGAGCAGATCGTCCCCAAACCAGAGGAGGAGGTGGCCCAGAAGAAGAAGGTACGGGGGGGGGCGCAGGAGGAGGAGGAGAGGAGGTCACGGTGCGTTCAGGTGACCTCCTCTCCTCCTGGCGATCGCTGCGGTGATGACCACTTAGGACACCTTTGGATTGAACCATGAAAACAAACTGTTAACTCTGAGCAGCTTCCTGTTGCTGTCAGTCAGACAGGAAGTCATGTGACTGCCGGTAATAACCGAGATCGTCTGTCTGTCTGTCTGTCTGTCTGCAGGTTTCACAGAAGAAGCTGAAGAAGCAGAAGCTGATGGCGCGGGAGTAAACGGAAAATAAAGTCTACACTTGTTATTACAACGCCGACTGCACGACTTTTTATTAATGTCTCATATTCAAGGTCTGACCTCGCTCTGGTTCGAACAGAGACCGCCCCCCCGAACCGAGACCGCATTGTTCTATCAGTGTGTGTGTGTGTGTGTGTGTGTGTGACTGATCAATAATATCCATTGATCACAGCATCAGTAATATACACATTAACCCTTGAGGCACCTTTTAAAACGAACATACAAGTTTGAACCTGGGGACCCAAAATGGTCCCTCATAAAAGTGTAATAAGTGTCCTATATTAATATTGTTTTTCACTTTCACCACTTCAAATCTTTTCAACAACTTCAGACCTAATCATAGACAGTTATTTTTTGTAAGTTTTTATGCCCTGATTTTCTCAATGGCAAAAATACAAAATTAATTATTTACCAAAAATGAGGTGCAAAGTGGAATATTTGGGCTGAGGTTATAAAAGCCTTTACTCGGTCAATAATTGATAACATTGATTTGGATGCATTATCATTTTGGAGCAGTGATAGTTTATTCGCAAACATTTACAAGTTTGAAGCTGGGGACCCAAAATGGTCCCCCATAAAAGTGTCTATTATATATTTTTTTCACTTTCGCCGCATCAAATCTTTCAGGCCTAACCAAAGATAATAAAGTTTTTACAATTTTTAAAATATTTATGTTATTCTGCCCTTTCTGTCATAAGATGTCATGTGTATGGTCTTTTGCCTGTGTTCACAATTCAAGGCACAAACCACTGATTTAAAGTTTTACATGCATGTGCTCCACATTTGGTGCACTTTTGTCCAAACCCTTCTGCACTGTGGGCACAAGACACACTGCCTCTGCTTTCTGGAGGGCCTTGGCTGTGGCTCCTCCTCCTCCTCTTCCTCCTCCTCCTCTTCCTCCACTGAGCTGCATGGCACTGGCAGGAACCTGGCTGTAGTATAGCCTCCTGCAACCCTGCGTCCTCATATGGGGACATAGTTTTATAGTAAAAGAAAAGTCCTGATTTCCTCATGAGGACATCATTTTTTGTGAAAACTACAAATTGTTCAAAAACAATGCTTGTTTCTACGTCTATCAGGTCCTACTAATCCTAAATAACAATTGAAAATGCACCCCAAACAAAAGCTATCAGGAGGGAAAAAGAACATTGAGTGGTCTGAAGACTAGAAAGGTATTTTATACAAGTACAGATCCATTTACCATTTACCATTCTGACTATTTACCACTATTCTAACTACTCTCACACACTTCTAACATTCACCTGCATAAACAGGCTATACCCCGCATCCAACAGGAGAGAGGAGGCGCTCTCTCTCTCTCTCTCACACACACACTATTTTATATCTCTCCCAACATACCAAGACCATTTTTATGGTGTTCAGTTTTTTTTTATTGCCATGCATTTTGCAAGGTAAGAGGGCCAGGCCTCCATTGACACTGTGTGTGATGAAGCTCTGCTGCCCCTGGTGGTTTGGGGGGGGTCATCAGACCTAAAACCTGTTTTCCCTGTATTTTGAAGGTAGTGGCTTAGATTTATTAGGTATTCATGGGAAAAGCATTATAACATGTCACAATTACAGTATATCAAAAATATGTGGTTATAATGAGAGTCAGTGTGTCCACGTCAGGCCCGAGGGTAAAGGGTGTAGGTAAATATTCAGAGCTCCTATCCTATACACCTTACGATAGAGGGGATCATGGAGTTTTACAAAAAAACAAATCCTGGCCACGTTTCATACAATTAGCCTTTAAACTGATATATTGAGAATCAAATAAGCTGAATGTACACGTTTGGTCCCCCAATGTGCCTCAAGGGTTAAAAATAAATATTTCATGTAGTGTTCTTCACTAAAATGAAGTAATGCAGATATTTGTGTACATTAAGTCTGACCTTTAACCCCCAGAAGGACTCTGACCTCCAGGTTGGGAACAGCTGCTTTATATTAAAGTATTTATATTTAAGTACCAAAAATAAAAGTACTCCTGCTCTATGGCTCATTACAGAATAAAATATATAATAAATGATATTAATATTAAAGGCAGAGCGCATTTTAAACCACTTTCTATACTTCTGTGCAGCTTAATCAATAACAATGTATTGGTTTCATATTAGTCTGGTTGCAGTAGAAAGTACAGAAATACTCAATACTCAAGTGTATTTAGTTACTTTCCTGTAAACGATACCAGCTGATTAATGTGTTAATGTTTGATAAATAAAATGTATAGAAACTAACCTGATCAATATAAATTCTAATCAATGAAAACGATCACATTTCTTCCTCTGTGGTTCCCAGACCTCCTGCTGGGGGGGAGAGGAGCTCAGTGTCTGCTGCCCTCTGCTGGTCGGGAGGATTAATAACTAATCAGTGATCAATAATCTGCATTAACGAGGAACCCAAGCAGAAATATGAAAATAATCTAAAAGTTACTTTTCCTACTTTACTAATGAAAGTAAATAATTACTCAAGTAATTTAATTACTTCAGGGAGAAGCTTTGAGTGGAGGATGCTAACACTAACAGATCGAGACGGACAGAATGAAGGACAGGTAGCGGTGCTGAAGCCAGTCTCTGGTTTATTTGGTATCTGTGTTGAACTGTGAGATGTTGAACATATAAAACCCCAGTTCACTCTCTCTCTCTCTCAGTGAGTCACTCTCTCTCTCTCTCAGTGAGTCACTCTCTCACTCTCTCAGTGAGTCACTCTCTCACTCTCTCAGTGAGTCACTCTCTCTCTCTCTCAGTGAGTCACTCTCTCACTCTCTCAGTGAGTCACTCTCTCACTCTCTCAGTGAGTTCATGCACAACATTGCACAGTAAATGAAGTCAAAGCTCGTGTCAACATACAAAAATAAAGATATTATTTACATCAGACAAAAACGAACGCCCCCCCCGACACTCATCCAAAATCATCCAAAGTGAATCTGAGACCGTGAAGTGAAACAAAGACCTGCTGCCCTCCTCCCGTCCTCCCCCCGTCCTCCCCCCATCCTCCCCCCATCCTCCGGCTATATACACATTATATTAATATCTGACCACCTCGCCATTGAAGGTCGTCTGCTAACTTTACATCGTCAGTTCCAACCTCTGTACAGGAAGCGGAGTTCAGACTGCTGCTCTCTGACAGTGGAGCTGTTGCTGTGTCACACAGTATCTCACTAGCTTAGCATTGCTAAACTGTTGGGTAGTTTAAAATGAGTTCAACCTGATTGATGTGATCGTTGGACAGACTAACAAAGACGCTTTAGGTGAGTTTGATATCTGGTAAAATGTTTCTGTTAGTGGAGTCTGGTGGTGTTGGTCGGTGCTGGTGCGACGTCCAGTAGAATACGAGCTGACACAGCGACAGCTCCGGCACGCTTCAGTTCGCCTCAGGCACAGATAAATATGTACACATGGAAACAGCTGCTCTTCTCGCCCCGCCCAGGTCGTCCTTTACGTCCACCGGTTCAGTCCTGATCTCAGAGTCCTCTCAGGTGTTACAAACAAGTTCCTCACAGTTACAAACAGGTTTTTCAATAAATGTTAGAAATGATTCAAACGTCCTTGAGTCTTTGAGATTAAAAAGCAGAGGAGACGTGTGGAGACGCATGAAGACACGTGGAGACGCGTGGAGACGTGGTGGGTCCGTGGAGACGCTACTGTGCTCATCAATACTGTCAGCGAGACATCAGGATCCACCTGCAACACAGGAGTCAACACGTAGGTTGGATTCTGAAGGACAGAACATGAGACGGCAGTGCGGAGACTGTACGTACGAGGCAGTGATCCAGCCTTCAGCCGCAGGTCGGTTCGGGGGTGAGGAGGGGTGAGGAGGCTCTGGTGAGACAGCGAGGCCAGCCGGGCTCTGGCCCCGCGGATCACTTGAGACAGGGGCTGACCACGGTGGGCGTCGGAGGGTAAACCAGAGCCACGTTGACCCGCTCCGAACCGTTCTTTGGACAGATGATCTCGGTCAGACCTTCAGGCCGCGGCTGGCTCAGCAGCTCACCTGTAACAGAGCAATCAATCAATCAATCAATCAAGTGTAGTGTGTCACATGAACTCAGATCCATCATCTCACCCTGCCTGAACCAAAACTGAATACTCCGACTGTATAGCCGCTTTTAACCACGATCAATAAATATTATCAGTTTTAACCTCCAGCAGGATTTAGAACTCTAAGGTTTTATTGATTACGTCTAAAGCTGCGTGGCGGCTCAGCAGAGGTCTGTATTCGGTTCCAGAGGTTACAGAGCGTTTGGGGCTCTGTAACAATCAAACGTTGGTTTCTAAAGTCCTCTGTGAATAAATAACAATTATGTAATCAGATTACAAAAGATCAATAACTATAATCAGCCCAGTTTACAGTTAAAAATAATGAGATCAGTTCCAGTGCTGAGTGAAGGTGGACGTTGTGGTTACAGCACTGGTTCCCAGCAGGGGGCGCCCAGTCGCTGGTTTACAGCAGCTCAGTACTTAGATCTGTTTACCCTGAGCTCTGACTGACAGGCCGGACAATACGGAACAGCAACACTTTATTCTGTAGTATTATTTTATTGAGAGAAATTAATGAATTAATTATGTATGTAATATGTTTGTATTCTATGGGGGTTTAATGACGTCTAAATTAAATGTTTTCATAAAGCACATTTTAACCCTCGTTGATCGCAGTGCTGCACAGACCAGAGCGGGTACAAGAATCCACATCAGGAGGATTCAAACCGAGAGAATAAAAGTCTGTTTAGAGCCTGAACTCAGTGAAGAGAGGGGGGCGATCTGATCTGAGGGCGGGCACTGTCACAGTCCGGGGGCAGAAACAGGAGCCTGATGTCAGCCAAGGGACCTGGATGTAGAATAAGGGGTCAGGAGGTCTGTGATATAACTGAATCGTACCAGCAGCCAGCGGAGAGGCCAGGATACAGAGAATATCTCTTCCTGGATCTGTCTGGACCGGCTGCAGGGCTCTGGACCGGCTGCAGGCGGGACAGGGTGCTGGCTGTAACTACAGCGTTGACGTCCTTTAAAGGTTTAACAGTGGACAGGTTGCATAGACTGTTGGACTCAGTGTGTTTGAGACACTGTTACATATTCCAGCTTTAAATGTGGGACAGCTGAAGCGAACTGCGGACTGTCCCGTTGCACACAAACAGATCAGCGTGTTGCCTGGGAGGCTGAACTCGGGGCAGAGTGCTGCATGCGGGGGGGCAGAGTGCTGCATGCGGGGGGGGCAGCTGCTGTGTGATATTTCTATTTCCTATGTGGGGGACAACCATTGTTACGGCCTGCGTCTCCTTGGTGAGTTCATGTGTTCACTGTAAATAAAAGGTGATATATAGGAGAGAGTTTGGCTTCCTGCTTCGTCTCACGCACAGCAAACAGATCTTCATCCTCCTCCTCCTCCTCCTCATCAAATAATGAGGGCGGAAGCAGCTTAATGCCGTAATCTACCCGTCTCAAGGCGCCACGTCTGGGGTCGACCCCTCCAGGACTAAATACACCTCCACAGTCAGGAGACAGCAGGGGGGGAAGTCACTGCAGACACCCAGAACATAAACTGGTCCAACTGCTGACGGAAACCAGAACAGCTTCTTCCCACCGCCATGAACTGTCAGCGGCACTAGAGTAAACCGCTGTAGTGCAGAGGTCAATGGCGCTACAGTAAACCGCTGTACTGCAGAGGTCAGTGGCGCTACAGTAAACCGCTGTCCTGCAGAGGTCAGAGGCGCTACAGTAAACCGCTGTCCTGCAGAGGTCAGAGGCGCTAGAGTAAACCGCTGTCCTGCAGAGGTCAGTGGCGCTAGAGTAAACCGCTGTCCTGCAGAGGTCAGAGGCACTAGAGTAAACCGCTGTCCTGCAGAGGTCAGTGGCGCAACAGTAAACCGCTGTCCTGCAGAGGTCAGAGGCGCTACAGTAAACCGCTGTCCTGCAGAGGTCAGTGGCGCTACAGTAAACCGCTGTCCTGCAGAGGTCAGAGGCGCTACAGTAAACCGCTGTCCTGCAGAGGTCAGAGGCGCTAGAGTAAACCGCTGTCCTGCAGAGGTCAGTGGTGCTACAGTAAACCGCTGTCCTGCAGAGGTCAGAGGCACTAGAGTAAACCGCTGTCCTGCAGAGGTCAGTGGCGCAACAGTAAACCGCTGTCCTGCAGAGGTCAGAGGTGCTACAGTAAACCGCTGTCCTGCAGAGGTCAGTGGCGCTACAGTAAACCGCTGTCCTGCAGAGGTCAGAGGCGCTACAGTAAACCGCTGTCCTGCAGAGGTCAGTGGCGCTACAGTAAACCGCTGTCCTGCAGAGGTCAGAGGCGCTACAGTAAACCGCTGTCCTGCAGAGGTCAGAGGCGCTACAGTAAACCGCTGTCCTGACACTCACACTCAGTGCAGACAGTTGTATTGTATTACATATATATTATATATTATATATATTATTATACAATATCTGATTATTATTATTCATACATTCATTTGTACGCAGTGTCTTAATGTCTCGCTCACTGCTGGAAAATATGAATTAGCAAGATTCGGGTCCGTACGACCTCCATCAGGTAAACGAGCGGCAGTATTCGTCTGACTGGCGGCTTGTCTCTGTCCCTCCAGCATCTCACAGCCTGTGGGTTTGGACTGTTGTGGCTAAGAGTCGGGTCTCACAGGAGCTTTTCTTAAAAACCGCGATGCGTGTTTTCGAGAAGAAGTAGAAAGGAAGGAAGAAAGAGAAAATTGCTAAAATTGTTAGCTAAAAATCAAAAACAGCTTGTTCCAGTGAGAATAAAATGGTGCTGTTTGGAGGGTCAATGTGAGACTTAAACATCTGCATCTTTACTAAAAACAAGGAAGTGAGTTTGAGGACTTTAGCAGGAAACCACAATGATTGGTCAAATTAGGAAAACTGATATGAATGATAATTTACAGCATGATAGCTCATAAAAGCGCTGACGTATCAACAAAATAACAGGGAAGGAAGAAAATGGCCGGAGCGGGTGTCCCTCACTGACACCGGCTGAAAGGGACTTCTTCCTCCTGCAACGCACTGAACAAACCGACTAAAACGCTCCAGTGCCTGGATTACATTTACATTAATACCTGTTTTTTCAGGGCATCTACGGCTCAAAAATACCCCCAGTCTGATCTGGGTTTATCTGCACAGATTGACCTGCTTTCAGTGTCCATACTGAATATCTGCTGTACTGAAACAATACAGACGCTCACAGAGAGTCTCATCCACAAACAGCAGCTGTGTGCGGTGACCTGCCATATCTGGATCAATGGCTCCACAACAATTCTTCATTTCCAAATCCAGTTTATCTTTCAATCAGTGTGATCCCAGATTAACAGATGATGTGCTCATGTGGACATTGTGGAGCACAGAGCACTAATTGTTGTGTCAATAATACAAATCAGCTTTACTGCACACAAATATCTCTTATTAGCTTCAAATATGATTTCAATATGTATTTTTATATTTTATAAATGAAATTCACTGCCCAGTCTCCATTAACCAAACCAGTAATTTAGCCTGGAGATAATCATAAAACACACTTCAAAGTGGACAGAAACAGAATAAAACTCATTAAAGCGTCTCTGTTAGTGTTTCCAACATCACCAACTCTGGTTTAGTGGAAATAAATCCTTAATTCACCAACGTAGATGATAAAAACAGCAGTTTCAGTCGGAGCAGACCGGCTATGGAAACAAACCACAGAGAGGCTGAGATACAACACAGGCAGAGGGAGAGAGACACCATGTGACTCTGTATATAGAGAATATAATGTTAGCTGATATATTAATGTTTATAATCTCATATATACAACCTGTACAGATTTATGATGGATTATATACATGTTTAGTCTGATGTTTTGATTATCTCGTCCATCCATCTCGATCTCCTCCACTTTGTGTTTCTATGACCTTGCCTATAATATGATGAGCACTAGAGGGCGCTGTCACGGCAACCTAACCTGATGTCATCCTCGGCCATTTGCTGAAACGATGATGATGATGTTGTTGTTTTTCTTGGGAGGACAGCCTCAGAGGAGAGGTTACACCCAAACCTGATGGTTCTTACAGACCAGAACTATTGATGTGTTGATTGATCGATGTGAAAGCCTCTTAAACAGTGGGCAGGGCTATAATTGAACATTTCCAATGCTGTCCAACGAGTCCAAGAGTGAAACGTGCTGAACAGGGCTGGGCCTCGATACTTAAAATCAGCTGTTATGAGCCCTGGACTTAAGACATCAATATCATACCCGTCAGTGTAATGTGTCTCAGACCAGCAGATCAGGTTGCAGACAGGGGTTTTATAGCTGAAGCTGGAGGAGCTGGCGTTGCCCTGTTTGCTCTCTGCTAAACTAACAAGATAAGAAGCACGTTTGTTTCTGACAGAATAAACCTCAGCAGCAATAGCCCTCACTCATACATCCATTGTCTTCAGCAGCACTTAAACCATTAGGCCTATTGATCGCTTCTGCTCTCTGTGCACGTCTGGAGCTGTTCGGTCTGCTGGGCTGAAGCCAGATACAGTCAGAGCTGCAGTCAGAGATACAGTCAGAGCTGCAGTCAGAGATACAGTCAGAGACACAGTCAGAGATACAGTCAGAGCTGCAGTCAGAGCTGCAGTCAGAACTGCAGTCAGAACTGCAGTCAGAGATACAGTCAGAGCTGCAGTCAGAGATACAGTCAGAGACACAGTCAGAGACACAGTCAGAGCTGCAGTCAGAGCTGCAGTCAGAACTGCAGTCAGAGATACAGTCAGAGATACAGTCAGAGATACAGTCAGAGATACAGTCAGAGCTGCAGTCAGAGATACAGTCAGAGACACAGTCAGAGACACAGTCAGAGCTGCAGTCAGAGCTGCAGTCAGAGCTACAGTCAGAGATACAGTCAGAGATACAGTCAGAGATACAGTCAGAGCTGCAGTCAGAGATACAGTCAGAGATACAGTCAGAGATACAGTCAGAGCTGCAGTCAGAGCTGCAGTCAGAGCTGCAGTCAGAGATACAGTCAGAGATACAGTCAGAGATACAGTCACACCTACAGTCAGAACTGCAGTCAGAGATACAGTCAGAGATACAGTCAGAGATACAGTCAGAGCTGCAGTCAGAGCTGCAGCCAGAGCTGCAGTCAGAGCTGCAGTCAGAACTGCAGTCAGAGATACAGTCAGAGATACAGTCAGAGCTGCAGTCAGAGATACAGTCACAGCTACAGTCAGAGCTGCAGTCAGAGATACAGTCACAGCTACAGTCAGAGCTGCAGTCAGAGATACAGTCACAGATACAGTCAGAGCTGCAGTCAGAGATACAGTCAGAGATACAGTCAGAGATACAGTCACAGCTACAGTCAGAACTGCAGTCAGAGATACAGTCAGAGATACAGTCACAGCTACAGTCAGAACTGCAGTCAGAGATACAGTCAGAGATACAGTCACAGCTACAGTCAGAACTGCAGTCAGAGATACAGTCAGAGATACAGTCAGAGCTACAGTCAGAGCTGCAGTCAGAGATACAGTCAGAGCAGCAGTCAGAGCTGCAGTCAGAGATACAGTCAGAGATACAGTCAGAGCTGCAGTCAGAGCTGCAGTCAGAGATACAGTCAGAGATACAGTCAGAGATACAGTCAGAGCTGCAGTCAGAGCTGCAGTCAGAGATACAGTCAGAGATACAGTCAGAGCTGCAGTCAGAGCTGCAGTCAGAGATACAGTCAGAGATACAGTCAGAGATACAGTCACACCTACAGTCAGAACTGCAGTCAGAGATACAGTCAGAGATACAGTCAGAGATACAGTCACAGCTACAGTCAGAGCTGCAGTCAGAGATACAGTCACAGCTACAGTCAGAGCTGCAGTCAGAGCTGCAGTCAGAGATACAGTCAGAGATACAGTCAGAGATACAGTCACAGCTACAGTCAGAACTGCAGTCAGAGATACAGTCAGAGATACAGTCAGAGATACAGTCAGAGATACAGTCACAGCTACAGTCAGAGATACAGTCAGAGATACAGTCAGAGCTGCAGTCAGAGATACAGTCAGAGCTGCAGTCAGAGCTGCAGTCAGAGATACAGTCAGAGATACAGTCACAGCTACAGTCAGAACTGCAGTCAGAGATACAGTCAGAGATACAGTCAAGCAAGTCAGAACAGTCAGAGATCAGTCAAGCATCAGACGCAGTCAGAAAAGTCTGAGATACAGTCACAGATACAGTCAGCTACAGGTTTTTTTCCGCCCTGGGTAATGTCTGCAGGTCTTCCTCACAAGCTGCATTGAACCCCAGCAACCCCCCCTGAGGGGTCCTGGTCCCTCCCTGCTGCTGTGATGACTTTGTTCCAATCACAGATTCTTTTACTGCAGAAGTTAAATATGTGAAGCTTTCTTCCACTGCTGGGAGTCAGATGTGTTTTTCATTACTGGAAGCAGCTGATGGCTCATACATCCAGCTGTGTGTCCTGAAGTAGGTCAAAGCCTGATAACTCCTCCTCCTCCTCCTCTGTACACACTGTGACTGAGAGGAGTCACACAGTAACCCACAATAACCTGACATAAAGACGCAGGAATGTGCTGACCTCCCCCCTCCTCCCTCCTCCTCCCTCCTCAAACACCATCAGCAGGTAGAGCGATCACTCACATTCCTGCTCTGCTGGGCTCGTTTACTCGCACACTCCCTCACCGCCTCCTGGAAGCCTTTCACCCACAGCCATAAAAGGAGAGAGCCACTTCTTTGGGTGCAGAAGTTTTCCTGTCTCCAGGAAACTCTCACTGGGATGTTGGATGTTTGGAAAGAATCAGTGAAAGAGTCTGGTTGAGCCTTCAGGGCTCTATTCACAGCCCGCTTTCACTTCCTGTTCCATTGTGAGCGGTCTGAGGAGGAGGAGCTCCAGGACTCTGTGGACTCTGTGGACTCTGAGGACTCTGAGGACTTCTGGACACAAGCGGACCAGGCTAGTGGGCTACAATGGAAACCGCTAACTGATGCAGCTTTTTAAGGCTTCAAAGTGTGATTATTTTAGAACAATGAATCAATCAATCAATCAATCAATCAATCAATCAGCAACTATTTTAATGATCAACTTTTTAAAAGCAGATTGTGATGATTGTGGCGTTTTAGACGTTTTTATTGATATAAACTGAATGTCTGAGTTTTGGAATATTGGTCAAACTAAACGTTTGAAGACTATTTTCTGTTTATGGACAAATCTAATATAGATTATCACTTAATAATAATTTAAATAATAATTAGTTATAGCTATAAATTCATTCATTATTTTCTTACTCAACCATTTTAACTTATGTACTTTATGTGTTGTGTCTTTGAGTATCATAAAATATAAATAAAATGTATTATTATTTCTAATTTCACCAATGCTGTGGACCAAAGTTCAGCTGATGAGCTGCAGTGTTGTGAGGATCTTAAAGGCGGACCACGCAGGAGTCGGTTGCTGTCTGTCAACTCAAACAGCCCCGCACAGACAGACAGACAGACAGACAGACAGTGGTGTAACCCAGAGTCCTGAACTCAAAGCCTGCACACAGCAAAAGCAGAAAATACAGGCAGAGGCTGCAGCGTCTCCGCAGACACACACACACCGTCAAACAGACCGTCACACACACACACACCGTCACACACTTGTAGAGGCACAATATGTCTGTCACCAGGGACGGTGATACACTAACTGCCAGAGTTGTAAAATGTTTATCGGACACTGAAACAGTGCAGTCTGGTCCTGGATCACGTTTCATTGTGTCACCAGGAGCTGAACATCTGGGTCAGCACTCTTTAGGAATCATATTTAAGGATTAATCTGGTGTTGTAAACGCTCTCTTCTCTGAAACAGGATGGGGGGAACGGACTCTGGGGACGTTGTTGTGTCAAAATAAAGTTAAATTATTAGTGCGAAATAGGGGTGGGCGATATGGGCAAAAAATAATATCTCAATATTTTTGGGGATTTTGGCGATATCGATAATCAGTCGATATCCTTTAAAATGTGATTAGAATTGTCTGAGCTGGACTTGTGTCCACCAAACGCGTTTACAGCGCTGAGAGAGCTCAAAAACTCATTTTCCAAGCGCCCAGCGGTGTTAAAAGTTGAACAGATTTCAACTTGAAGCGCTCTGAGCGCTGCGCTGACATCTTTTTACCGCTGAAGGCGCTTAGCGCTCTGAACGCTGAAGCCCATAGGACCCACGTCTCGGCACTAAATCATCTGAAGTACCGGTAGCTTCAGGGACTGGAGGTGTTTGCATTTTCTCTCTACCATCACAACGCGCTGCTAAACTGTTGCAAGGAGGATGCTAGCGAGAGGTCACGTGATCACGTCATGTGATCACGTAGGCCCACTAGTCATGTGACTGAATCCTGCCATGCTGTAGAGAGCGCTGCTGTACCGTGTATTAATGGATGTGAGGAGTTTCCGCGGGCGTTTCATTGTTTTTGTCGAAGTAATTTAAATACTCGATAATGGAAATTTGCACATCGTCAAAACAACAATGACGATATTATCGCAAACGATATATATCGCCCACCTCTAGTGCAAAACAATAAAAACTGCTCTACTATGATCAGACTTATCTACCAGACCAACCCTCTCTCCGTGCTGCCTGCGTCACATTCAGTTTAAATATTTACAATCTTCAGCCTAAAATAGAAATGTGTCTCTTTAGAGCTGCACACAAAGCTGAGAGAGGACGAAGACAGAAAGCAGTGAGGAGTGTCAGTCAGCATCCGTCTGCAGAGTCACTCTCTCTCCATATTGATGAGGGCCGATCCTGTCTCTCCTTTCACTGATGCCTCTCTGAGCTGGGACCAAAATCTGCTCATCACATGCAACCCCACAGAGTGGCTGTGAACCGGGTTGCACCGGCGGCCGCACCCAGAACAACAGATCACATGTGAGCCCAAATCAGCTTACGTCTCAGTGAGGCAGAATAACCACAGAAGAGAGAACTGGTGTTCCTGGCTGTAAGAGGTTTGATTGCTATTATTGATCCTTCATTTATTACACTGATTAAACAGTCAGTAACAGTTAGTAAGTAATCTGTGCCCCAGTCCCCACCCCCTTTTCAAAAGTTTCTAAACCGGTCCCTGTCCACACCACCAACAGATGTGAGACGCCATCCTGTGTGACCTTTCAAACGGAGTCAGAAACCAGAGCTCCACCACCTCCCGGCTGCTCCACTAATAGTCCTCAGCTCAGGTTCCAGGTGCTGCTGACTGAGGTGGAGCATTTAAAGGGGTTCATGGAAAACCAGGGGCGGCAGCAGTGCGGCGTGTTGAGGGTGGCAGACAGTGAGCAGCGTGAATGGATCCGAGGGGAGAAGAGGCCAGCAGCTCAGCCTGAGGATTAACACTGCAGTGTGTTCAAACACAGAGGATCAACCACGTCACACTACCGACTCCGAGGACCAGAAACAGACAGACTCACACCGACAGCCAGCAGACTCCATTTCATGCCTCTTACATCGTGTGTGTCTGCACGTACACACACACCAGCTGAGGAACCTGAGGCGGTCAGCTGTGCGTCCACGCGTCTGCAGTCATGATCTTAAGTTCATCACTCGGGCCTCATTTATAGAAACGTTCTTAGACTTTTACTTGGACTCTGAAGATCATTTCTTAAGACAGTTCTACGCAGTCCCTCTGTAACGTACACACCTGTGATCAGTGGTTTATTCTTTTCAGTAAACTTATTTTAGTGAGAAATGATGATTATATTGAAGTAGTCTGCCTCTCATTCCCCCCAATAAACAGAGCTTTATAGTGAGAGAGCAGCATATATATTACATTCAGATATATTACTGTATCGTTAAAGAACATTTTCCTGCTGTAATCTTTCTCTTTTAGCTCTAACTCAGCGCCGTGATCACACTGTTCATGAAGTAAGAGTTTATAAAGAACTACTCATACGTGGTGAATCATTAAGATCCAAAATTGATCTGAAGCTCGTTTTATAAATGCGGCCCCAGGCCTTTAGACCTGACTGGATCTGGACTCACAGAAGGGATCACAGCGTGGGCAGAACAGCGCTGAGACAGCTGGGCTGTAGAGACTGTGTGAGATCTCTTACTAGATAAAAACCAGGATATGTGAAATGGAGCAGAATCAGCCGGCAGGATGCGGCTCAGAGACCCAGATATCGTGACCAGTCTCTAAAAACACAGCAAATTAGACTAATCCCTTCTGATCAGCAGCTGGACTGCCAGAGAGCCTAGATCCTCAGGAATGTGTGGCCTACTTCCACAGCAGAGGAAACGGACCAAAAATAACTCGGACTGGTCACTCAGCAGGCCTGAAAGTCCAGATACAGGCCTCACAGTCCAGATACAGGCCTCACAGTCCAGATACAGGCCTCACAGTCCAGATACAGGCCTCACAGTCCAGATGCAGGCCTCACAGTCCAGATGCAGACCTCAGAGTCCAGATGCAGGCCTCAGAGTCCAGATGCAGGCCTCACAGTCCAGATGCAGACCTCAGAGTCCAGATACAGGCCTCAGAGTCCAGATACAGACCTTTGAGGATTTAAAATGATCTTCTGCTTATTTAAATTCCAAAGATTCAGTATTTTACCAGGAACTGTATCCAGTGCAGAAAAAACTCTGAGAGCATTAAAACCATGTGGCAGAATAGATCCTCACTATGGAAACTAATTAGATCCAATAACTGGATCTTATTAGCAACTGAGTACATATCAGAAGATTAGATTGTATTATTATTACGTCATTTAGGTGGTCACATTTAAAAAATATTATCATTTTTCAGGGTTCGTCTTAAAAAGACCAGCGTGAAGGATTTAGCGAATGAGCCACAGAACTGAAGCAGGGTCGACCGACGGAGGCCGGCTGATGACCAGCTGTTCTGACCAGGACTCTGACTCTGGGGATGAAGACACGGCGGGTTCAGGCAGCGGTTATTATTATTAAAATAATATCATCAACATGCTGAGTACTGACTACTAGGCGACTAGGAAAACCTTTAGTCGGGGCAGCCCCAGCAGAAACATGGCGGACTCCATCAGAAGAGGACCCGCTCCCTCTGTAGATACAAACGTCTCATCGTAAGGTAAAAAACACTAATGAAAACACACCTATGGATAATACATTACTGCCAACAGATCCTCCTCAGTGCTACACTCTGGACCTTTAGGGGACAAAGATAAAAACAAATGTGTGAATGTTGAGAAGCGTTCTGTCAGATTAAAGTTTAATCTGATCTTAAAACAGACGAAACCAACAGGAACTTTCATTTCTATTATTCAGGAAAGCCTGAATCGCTTCTCAAATGTCGACTCAAAGCTCTGGGATTCCCCTGTGTGCGTGTGTGTGTGTGTGTGTGTGTGTGTGTGTGTGTGTGTGTGTGTGTGTGTGTGTGTGTGCTGCAGCTGTTCACATCTGCTGTGTAATGAGATACACTTTCACAACAGAAGCCTTTATGTTAATGTGCTAATCTGTTTTCTCAGACAGATCTTCCAGGAAAACAAAAGATTTAACAACTTTTTTCTGTTCTGAGGAAAACTACCCAGCTGCATCCTGAGGAACTTTCTTTCCTTCCACAGAACTCCTTAAAATAGAAAGTGGAATTCTGAGCCAATTGTGGTGTTTCGTAACCCTGTCAATCACGGGAATGCATGAATTATAATCATCAGCCTTATTCATGTTGATTCAACAGGCTGCAGCTCCACAACAGGACCTGGTCACCGACAGACCTGACAGCAGCTGAACCTTCAGTCCTGCTTACAGCGACACGTCGGTGACATTTCAGTGTGAGAAACCAGATCCAAACCACAACCTCAGCAGCGACCTCACAACTTGTGACTCACTTCAGACAACCTGGAGATGGTTACAGGTAGTGATGGAGTTTGGTGCCGTATGGCTCATTCTCGATGCCGTTTCGATCTGCTTTGTTGATGTGGGCGGGTTGAGGCGTCCGTCACAAATAAAGGTGGTACACATTGAACTAGAAATACAGGTAAAAATAGGTAAACATAGAAGTGTCACAGGTGATATGCACCGGTCTTGATGTTGGGAAGGCGTGCAATGATGCAAATAATAATAATCAATAACTCCCCTCAAATGCATTCAAACTAAAGTAAGGAGTAGAAAGTACAGATATTTGTGCACAAATGTAGAGGGTAAAGGTAAAACGTCAGAAAAATAAATACTCTGAAAGAACTACTTGCATACTGTAACAAAGTATTTGTACTGTCTGTTATTGTTACTTCCCGCCTTTGACAATAGACCAACTGCAGCACTTCTGGTGGACTGACGAGCATTGTCTAGAACGGGTGTGATCACCAGCGGCCACGGCCCCGTAATACAAGAAAGTCTGTGACCAGGGAGGAAGCCATTTTTTCCTGCTACACATGAGCCAAAAAGCAAGCCCCGCCCAACTCGCTGTACATCCCCACTCAAGTCAACCAACATGGCAGCGGCCATAACGCCAAACTCGAGGCTTCAAAATGGTACTCTACAAACCAATGGGGGAGGTCACGATAGGTTCACAGTTGGTCAGTAAGTTGAGCCTGGTTCAACAGTCCTCTGAGTATGTCCACATGAAGACATGAACACATCTTTTTCTCTGTTTCCAGAGAATCCAAAGGAACTGTTGACGGCGGCTCTATTTAGGGCAGCCGGAGGGATGATAATCAGTGTTGGAGATTCTTGACTGCGTGCTGACAAATTGCTGGCTGCTTGCGATGAGCAGACATGCCTTCAGCAGCCAAACACCTCGTCGTGGTCTCGCTGTTGCTGCCATGCTGCTATTTAGCTGTCAGGACTCGGAGCTCAGGAAACCACTCGACTTTAAATTAAAATGCTGCTTTTTCTGCCGTGATGACGTCCAGTCAGGAGGACACAAACACTTCCTGTTTACAAGAAAGCCAAACCTGTGAGGACGCCTCAGGAGCTGTTTCTTACGTTTGCACCCAAAACTGCATCTGATACTTTTTCTAAGGAATCAAAGGACCACATGGATATTTTAGTGGGCCAACCCAGAAGATAGCTTCACCCTGGTTCCTTCTAGAGTCGTTCCGCTATCAGCATCGGAAATTCCTGCGATACTGCCAAAAATGTGGCATCGGGTATCAGCGAGTCTGTGCAACGATCCAATACCACAAAATGTATTAGCCCTGCTACTTCCCAGCAGTGACTGACAGGGTTTAACCTGAGCGAGGCCAAGTTCTGGTATCACAATCGTAATCAGGAAGGAAAAAATAATACTGGAACATCTCTAGTTTGACAAAAATCCACTGAGATTGTTCCATTGGATTCTGGATTATTGCAGAAAATAAACTTTGTGGCCCACAAAGATTTATGATATTTTGTTCAGCAAGATAAGGTTCACAAATAATCTTTGGTTATCTAGATTAACTGATTAATCATTTGCTTTATTTAGTTTCACAAAGTCCAAGATGATGTCCATAACACCAAAATATTCAGTTTAATATGATAGAAAACTGAAAAAAGCAGTAAATCTTCATATTTAAGAGGCTGAAAACAGCAGTTTGTGCAGTTTGTGCAGGTGGCTGTGACACAGACAACACGAGGAACGATGTGAAGAAAGACATGTATGGAGCCGTCTGTGCACTCTTATTTCCCTATCACCTCACAGCTCAGGTAGAGGCAGCTGATGATGCAGCGTTCAGGGATCCACCGTCATCACAGACCTGCCCACCAAATCCTCTGAGTACTTCCTGACCCACCACAGTCTCAGTCACATGTCTGAGATAATACAGCAGGCTTACCGCAGCAGGGTGATGTAACAGGATTGTCATCCTCTCCACCAGATTACTCACCGACACATTTCACTCCTACAGATAATGAGGAGCTATGGCAGGAAACAGCGACTGAGGAGTAACTTCCCTCTGAGGCATCATTGACGACCTCCTGCCTGACATCATATCTGATCAGAAACTGACAGACGTGTTTCAACAGGCTGCTGAGTCAAACACACTCCAGTTAATGTCCAGTTAATGAGGAACCCAGAGTAAGTCTGATCAATCCTTTGTTTGTGTGCAACAACGTATAGAACCACATATTGAACCTCATACAGAACCTCTTATAGAACCACATATAGAACCACATATAGAACCACATATAGACCCACATATAGAACCTCATATAGAACCACATATAGAACCACATATAGACCCACATTCAAACATCCACAGGCCTCCATCACCACGTTCGTTACAGTTAATCAATAACATCTCCTCATTAAACAGTGTATAAACTCTAGAGCTATGTTCTATATGGAGTTGATTCAATCAATAATCAGTAATCACAAGCTGTCATACATTGTCCTCAGGGCAGTCTGCTGTCTGCCCAACAGCGTGGGAGAAGCAGTGATTTTTAAGGTGGAACTGATACATGTTAAATCCAGAGAACAAACGTTGTCTCACTCTCAGTGTGCTTCATGTGGCTGGATGGTGACACAGGACAGACTTCTAGTACAGTATCAGTCCACAGTGGATCTCTGACAGCGTTAACTGATCCTCAGAGGATGAGTTGTTCACAGTCTGAGGTGAAATGAGTCAGAACAAAACAGTTCAGAGACTGAAAGAGGGAACTGAGACTGAAACTTGGTTTTGAGTTTAAAAATATGTGGATGTAAAGATGGAGGTTTATTTTTACTTTTTTAAAAAGAGCCAATCAGGATCCAGGATGCAACTTGCACTGAGACTTTCCAGTGACGGAGACATCCTGTTTAAATCTTCATATATTCAACGATGGAGGAGAAAAGATTCTTATATGAGACACAAATGATTATTTGAAGCAGATTATGTATGTGTGTGTACTAAAACATGTCTGGAGGGGATTCTTCATGTATTTATATTCTGTTTTATGATGATATACATTTTCATTTGTATTAATAGTTCATTAATCACAATATCTTTTAAAGAAAACCTAAAATACTGGAATTGAAATGTCAGTCAAGCAGCTGTAAACAGATCTGGTGTTAAACTACAATGTGTTACCACGAGCAGCAATCTCTCACACGACAAATGATTGAATGTTTGATTTATGGCTCGTAAATGTCTGATGAGAAGTGTGTTAAAGTGAGGCAGCAACAACATGTTGAGACTGATACCTGGCTCACAATAAGCCAACCGCTGGCAGGAGAGTGGGAGTGGGAGGAGTCGGATACACCTGAGGGACAGGACAGGTAGGTCCACTCCTCTGTTTGTCTTGTTGCAGAGTGAGTTAGATCAACTTCGCCTCGCTGTTCATCCACTGAATCTGTAACTCGCTTTAATCCCGACTGATCCTGTAACTGGATTAAGAGGAGCCGGCTGAGCAGACCGAGAGAGAAGATCCACAGCAAGAGTGAAAGTGCTGCCCGAAAATAACTCAACACACACAGACTGTATCTAACAGGAGCTGCAATCATCAGCCAATTCATTCATCAGTTGATCAACAGGGCAGTGGTTGCCTAAAGCTTTGCAAAGCAAGTGTGTGACCGGAAGGTTGCTGGTTCAATCCCAACTTCCTCCTTTCCTGTACTGAGATGCTATATGCTAGGCTAATCTATGTTGAAAAGACAACCACATTTTGAGGATGGTTAAAAGATAAAAGTTACATACATACAGTCACATGTTCAGTCAGCTAATGTTAGCAAATCACCAGCTAACTATTCACTCAATCTTTATGCAGCTAATTTGCTAGATTAGCTAGATTTGATAGCATTAGCTATCAGATACTAGCTAGCATCAGCCCATTGGCTGTTTGTTGAAGGAGCCAAGATGCTAAATTCTAAAAAGCTAAAGTTGGATTACGAAAATACATCATCACCACAATGCACCACAACACAGCACAGACACCGAGCACAGACACCGAGCACAGACACCGAGCACACCGAGCACAGACACCGAGCACAGACACAGACACCGAGCACAGACACCGAGCACACAGCACAGACACCGAGCACAGACACCGAGACAGACCCGAGCACAGACACCGAGCACAGACACCGAGCACACCGAGCACAGACACCGAGCACAGACACCGAGCACACCGAGCACACCAGAGCACAGACACCGAGCACACCGAGCACAGACACCGAGCACACCGAGCACAGACACCGAGCACACCGAGCACAGACACCGAGCACACCGAGCACAGACACCGAGCACACCGAGCACAGACACCGAGCACAGACACCGAGCACAGACACCGAGCACACTGAGGCTGAGGAGTAAATAAGGAAACAGGGTAAGAAGGATCAAATACAACACACACTGTGTTTACTCTGTTGCGCTCCAAGCAGCCACAGAGACTCTGTCCATAAAAGGACAATGAAACACACTCACTGCACAAAGGTATGTGTGTGTGCTCTTAAAGGAAGCAGACCGAAGGAAAGCTTCTGGATTATTGCAGCTCATCTTGTTAACCGCTGGAGTTTGAAGGGTGTGAGCAGGAGGGTAGGGATAGGAGTTTATTGATAACTGATTATTGGTCGAGATGAGGTGTGAGCACGTGGAAGGAGAGGGAGAAGCGAGGGAGTTGTATCTGTAACTGCACCGCTATATGCCCCTAAAACCACCACGCTGGTCCTTAAAGAGACTAAATAAGACCCCTTTACACAAACAATGCCCCGTTTACTGGGAGCGTGAACATTCACTGATACGATATTAAAGACTTTTTTTAATTAAATCATCAGTGCAAAAACCTCACATACAAAGAAACTTTCCATGCCTCACTTTTAACTTATCACCAACAAAGCACAACACCTCCCCGCTGATCCAGCACACCGAACACTGTGCAGGCCCCCCCGAGTGGGGAAAAGTCTCAGTGGTAGATTCAAACAAATTACAATATAATGCATCACATGACCCAGTGAGGAAGTTCCTGCTGCAAACAATGTGTGATAAAAAGCTGTTTTCGCTTCTCAGCCCTCACAAGATAAAACTCCATAGCATTTCCTGATCTGGTCGACTGCCCGAGCAGAAGCATTTCTCTCTCTTATCAGGCTGCTATAAAATGACCCATTGAACATCAGCGCTGTAATCACTGTGGAGCTATTTTATCACACAAGTCCACATTTCTTTGTCTGCTGCTCTGAAGACACAACATGCAGAGTCCTAAAACTTTCTGCTGCTAGTTCTCCATCTGTTCATTGAATCCGGATCATTTCCACTTCCTTATCAAAGCTTTTTAGGTTGGTTTTGTAGAACAAAGACATCTCTGAGACTGAAGGGCTGTCTCTGGTTTTACATTTTGTCATTGAGTTGTTTAGTCTATAAAACATCAGAAAATAGTGAAGAAATGTACATCATCAAAACAATCCGTTTACAGTGATATCAAACAGAGAATGTACCAGTGTAATCGTATCTGAGTCTGAGGCCTCACCCCGCCACAATAAAAGCTCTGAAAACCTGAGTGCCTCTTACGATTCGGGTATTCTGCAGAGAGTCGG